ATTTCAAAGCATAATTGCAACAATGAGCAAAGATTGAGGAGTTCAATTACAATTAATATATTGTGTATCAATAGAAAGTTGTGATGGCAATATAATTAATTTTTTGAAAAATTCTACGGAACCGGACGTAAGAGTTCTCATCCAACTCCTCACAAATAAAAGGATTTAGTGTGAGGGCAGGTGACCCATTGTTTCCTCTGTGGACCTGCCCAGGCGGGCTTGCATCCTTAGACTCATATTTTATCTCAGTTTTCGTCGTCTTTTTTTTTTTTTTTTTTTTTTTTTTTTCACCCTTTAAATTTCTAGGCGACGAATATGCATCTCAACCACCCTTTGGTGAGTCAAGCAACTAAAGTTCTATGATCTTTTTCTCAGTATTTCTTTTACTTCAAGCGATGACTTTTTTGAAGCAAAACCCTCCAATCATAGAAACCTATGGTTGAGATATCAGTCCTATGGCAGTTGTCTCCTTTCATTACCATAACCTGCTTAACCTTCAGCTCCATATTATATATCTTCATTAAACCACGCGAAAGCTAGTAGAATTATACACTGGAAAAGACAAATTCTGGGATTTCGGATCATGGGATCCTTGGAAAGATCAAAAAAGAAGGTGCAATTATGGAAGAAAGCTATTGTCCATTTCTTGTTATGTTTCGTTATGGGATTCTTCACAGGCTTTGCTCCAACTGGTAAGTCTTCAATATTTTCTAATGGAGTTGCAATCTCAAATCATCACTTGGGATTTTCACCACAGCCTGTGGAAGTGATAAACCCTGTGAAAGGACAGAATTTCACCACAAGCGAATTGGAAGAAACTGCAATTTCTACTGCAACAAAAGAATCCTTAAACCTCAAAAAACCCAACGGCGGAGAATTAAATCCTAGGAGGCTTGTAATAATCGTAACACCTACAAGCAAAATGGATAGGCTTCGAGGGGTGCTTCTTAGGAGGCTAGCGAACACATTGAAATTGGTTGCTCAACCACTGTTGTGGATTATCGTGGAGCAGTTTTCGGATTCTGCAGAGGTTTCGGAGATATTAAGGAATACGGGGATCATGTATAGGCATGTAGTGTTCAAGGAGAATTTCACTGATATTCATGCTGAAATGGATCATCAAAGAAATCTTGCTCTTAAGCACATTGAGCATCACCGGTTGAGCGGAATTGTGCATTTTGCCTCACTTTCTAACGTATATGATCTTAGCTTCTTCCAAGAGATTAGAGCAATCGAGTAAGTTTTCTTCATCCCTCAACTTTATTAGCTTTATATTGGGTTTTCTGACAACGATTTTTACGTATAGATCGACAATCCGATTAAAAGTAGTTTTTTGAAACTTTTTAAAAGTATGTTTGTTAGTTATAGATATGAAAGATGGCAAATTCTATTTCAAAGAATAAGTAACTTATACTATTTAGATTTTAATTTGAGTCAAAGTCAACGTCTAATTTTAACCATATATTTAATAGGATGTACGACTTTTCAACTACACATTTTATCAAATTTTACTAAAATTTGCTAGAAATCTGATTTTAATTTCTACCAAATAGGGAAAAATAAGTTTGATTTATTTTAAGAGATGTGGATTTTTATTTCTTCACGTCCATATCGAATATGTTTTTATAATTTTCTTCCGCTTGTCCATTCACGACTATATCTATACATCAAGTATTTGACATGTACAATTTCGATAATAACCAACAATGATGTTGAAATTCAGGACATTTGTTTGCTCGTTACCATGTTGATATACTTTGTCTAAAAACGAGGGGAGGAGAAATTTATATGCCTATCTTGTGAATATTTATTATGAAGTTGGGGTCAATAATGATTAACATTGAGATTATTACTAAAGCCATAGAGGATTATATTTCAGGGCATTTGGTACATGGCCAATAGCTAAACTCTATGCTAACAAAAAGAAGGTGATTATTCAAGGACCTGTTTGTGATTCTTCAGAAGTTATAGGGTGGCATTTGAAGAAAATTGAAAATACAACGGATACAACTACACTTCCAATTCATATTTCAAGTTTTGCATTCAATAGCTCCATTCTCTGGGATCCAGAAAGATGGGGGCGCACTTCATCTGCTCAACGTACTTCACAGGTATGTTACGAGTCGTAACGTAATAAAATCAGGTGCAGATATCTTTTTTCATAAGTCGAGAACGTTCATAATTTATGAACATTGCAATTTTTGTGCACTAATATTGAATAATCGACTTAAACGAATAATTTAGTCTACTTGTTTACGCTTAAATAATATTTAAATTTGTATAATTCTAATTTAAACATGTAATAATATTTATATAGTTTGTTGTGTAGTTACATCATTGTCAATTTATAAGAAAACTTTAATCAACAATTAATGATGATTCCTCTATAGATGGACAAACACATTATAATAAGAGTATTTGGAATTGATACATAGTTGGCCAACCTAACCTTCAACCAATTCATGGACTTATTGGCATTAATTAATGACTTACTCCACTCAAGTATTCCTTCTTATTATCAAATAAATTTATGTATTTGTTTTGGTCCATTTGGTAGGTTTCTGTTTTTATTTTCGTTTGTTGTGAAAGAATTTTAGGAAATCAATTTTTCTAAAAACTCTTCCGACCAAATAAAATACTTCCCAAAAATTATTCTATTCAAATATAGTTTTTTAATCTCGAAAGCAACTTTTGATTTTTCAAAAGTTTTGGAAGAGTTGTTAATATTTCTTTCAACAAATCAAGCAATCTTTCTATAATTTGATGATAGATAAAACAAATTTTGAATTCGTATAGAGTTTTGTTGAATGTATTTTTTCATTATGCAACGAAGGGCTAGGATGAGATTAAAAATCTATTGTTAAATGAGAATTCATTGTTTTTAATTTACTTGCAGAATGTCCTCAAATTTGTGAAAAAGGAGGTTCTTGAAGAAGATACCAAGTTGAAGGGAATTCCTCAAGAAGGTTGCTCCAAAGTTCTACTTTGGAATCTCCATATTTTTAAGCCGTGAAGGCGTGACTATCTCTATCAAACATTGTCCCTTTAATGCAAAGTGAAAGAGAGAAAGATGACATAATATGGGTTGAAGCCTCATCCTAACTCA